GGAAGGTTCTGCCACACCACGCAATGCATGATGGTTTGCGGTGCTGGGAAATCTGTGAAAAAGTTCAGCAGATTTCAAATTCATGCAAATAAGTGCAGCCACCTCACTGCGTTCAGCCAATCAGGCAATGGTAGACTGGTCTTCGTCACAAACAGCAACCATAACTTTCTCAGAGAGTAGAGAAACTTCGGCTCTCTTTCTCTTCACTGAACCCATGACAGTTTTAGGCCTACATAATAATGAAAATATCCAGTTTTAGACAACACAGAACTGTTGACAGTGAGAATTTGGAGGGAAGTTTACATGGTTTGAGCATAAAGGCAAAATTTAAACCATATGGAGCTTGTCGGTTACTTGCTAAGGTTGCTAGTTTGCTAGTGAGATAAAGGACGACTGCTGCATTCTAAAAAATAATAAAAGCATAAGAAGCATTCATTTGTGTTTGAGTCTCATTGTAAGCTTCTTTGCAAGAGCAGGTGAAAAAGTTTAGTAAAGAAAATGATTCTATTTAGAACTATGAACACTCAAAGAACCCTTTGCATGATTAAGGGGTTCTATGCATTGTTAAAGCATTCTTCAGATTGAAGGAGAATTTGGTTCTGTATAAAAGCTTTTTAAAAAGGGTTTTATGCAGCACCAAGAAGGTTCTTCTATTGTAACAGGCTCGACATTGTTACGATAGAAGACTTTTGGGTGCTGTAGAGAACCCTTTTCAGAAAGGTTCTATAGAAAACCATCTACAACACATTATGAACACGTTCATGATGCAAAGAACCCTTTAATCATGCAAAGGGTTCATTGAGTGTTCATAGTTCTTAATAGGACCATTTTCTTTACTAAAGAACCTTTAAAGAACCATCTTTTTTGAGAGTGTAGTTAAGAAGGATGAGGAAATATCCGAGCAGGTGTGCAGTGAGAAATGTTGACAGGATGTTTGATAATTTAAGTTACTTTGCTAATGTTAGCATCATTTGTAGCATATTGACTGTCATGATTAAGTCACAGTTAAGACAAAAACTTTAGTCTGTTTTCATTCTTATCATTATTTAACCACCTTATTTATCTCAGTATAGCATATAACTAATAAATAGGAGATGAGTAAGAAAAGAAGATGAAAAAGTTTAGAAGATTAGAAAAGATTATGTAGCAAGAAGTCAATTCTGTGTGTGTTTGTGTAGCAGGAGAAATACAGTTAGAGTTTAAGGTGGGCTGGTGTGCATTATATAACTCCAGGTCTGAAAACAAGTCCTGCTTTCCAGCACTGAAGGGTTAATCCAGAGCAGGTCTATTATAAGGGTCTGAAAGGCTTTAGGTGTCTTTATCCATTGCTACTTGTCTTATTTAAGCTCACGTGTGTTCTAAACTGAACCATAACGCCTGTAGCATCTGCATCTGTTCCTCTGTGCTGTTATTATCCTGAGAGCAGAGCAGGCCCTGTCTGTGCTTCAGACCTGCAACTTAATCAATTAAATCTCTACCGATAACAAAGCAAAGCTGCTGCTCCTCTGTCCACCAGCGAAAATAAGATTTCATCTGTCTGCGGGAGGAGACAGGACCGGACAGAAGAGAGGGAGGGGGGATCAAAGTGTCATTAAAGCTCAGAAACACTCCATCAAAACGACATCCGCCTGCCCACAGCTACAAAAAACAGTGCACCTGGCTTTCTGCTCTTTAAACGGCCCACAGATCGATTGTCCCTTGCTCCTTCTAAACTGATATCATCACAAGAGCTGCAGTTACAGGTACAGAAACATGCCCTTAAAAAAGGGGTTCCATGACAGCTGGAAGAACTATTTGAGAGCTGAAATAGTTCTCTGCAATTTAGAAAATGATTCTTTTTGTGTGTGCTATTCTAGTTATACCACTGTTCTTCTTTTTTCATGCAAACAAAATTTTCCCCATGGGAAATGAGTGGCATATTTGTTCAGAACATTTTAATCTAACTGCCACAAATGATGTCACAAAGGACATCTCTCACTCTGTCCCTCATAGACATTACATACAGACTCACATACACACTAGCTCACATATATACACACATATTAGCAACCACCTGGGATACTACAGTAAAGGTCTGACAACACCTTAGCAACCACCTGGGATACTATAGCAATGGCCTAGCAACACCTTAGCCATAGCAATGGCCTAGCAACACCTTAGCAACCACCTGGGGCATCATAGCATGCCCAGCAACATCTTAGCAATCACCTAGGATACCATAGCAATGGCCTAGCAACACCTTAGTAACCACCTGGGATACTATAGCAATGGCCTAGCAACACAATAGCCCTAACAATGGTCTAGAAACATCTTAGCAATCACCTGAGATACCATAGCAATGGTCTAGCAACACTGTAGCAACCACCTGGGACATCATAACATGGCCCAGCAACAACTTAGCAACCACCTAGAATACCATAGCAATCACATTGCAGCACCTTAGCAATCACCTGGGTCACCGCAGCACAGCCTAACAGCACCTTAGCAACCACATGAGACAACTTAGCAATGGCCTAGAAACACCTTAGCAACCACATAGGATACTATAGCAATGGCCTAGCAACACATTAGCCATAGCAATGGCCTAGCAACATCTTAGCAATCACCTGAGATACCATAACAATGGCCTAGAAACACCTTAGCAACCGCCTGGGATATTACAGCAGTAGCCCAGCAACACCTTAATAACCACCTGGGATACTATAGCAACAGCCTAGCAACACATTAGCCATAGCAATGGCCTAGCAACATCTTAGCAATCACCTGAGATACCATAGTAACGGCTTAACCGTTTTAATAACTGTTTAAACCAAAAAATGGTTTAAACCACAAAATAGTGGAAAATCTGAAAAAATAAGGTTTCACTTGGGACTATTTTGCCTTAAGACACCCTGCATGTATCCCTCCACCTTGAATGGATTAAAATAAATATGTTTTAAGCCAAAACCTGATTGCAGAACTATTGTAAAACAGTGTTTCAGTCACTAAGGAACATATTCATAACCATTTCATGTAGTAACCTTCTGTGAGGGAGCTTTTAGAGGTGGACATTTGATTCCTTTCACCATCACTGTGAACAATTCTGACTCGGTAAGTTTCTCTAGAGCAGAGCATTTCATGCCAAACCATTTTGAATGACTCTGTTTACATCTCAGTGATTTAATTATGCAGAAGGTTTAATTGTGCAAAAAATGAGTGGAATTCCCCTGTAAGTACAAGTTATTCATTTTCCAGCATCAGGAAAAAAGCAGAAAACATATTTCACAGAAAATTACACAGAAGCCTCAACAGCTATCAAATTAGGATCCCATTCCTTTCAGGAGACTCGCTTTCCGTTTCTCAAAGAAACCAGCAGGCACACCTCCAAAGTTCAGTCTTAGAAGTTGGTTGATTATTTTCTGAAGAAATCCAAACATGCTGAGGTCTGGACTCTGAGGTGGTCAGTCCTTTGTTTAGAGAACACCGGCAGCTTCTTGGTCTCATTAACAGTATTTCAGCACCATGGACAGCGGTGCAGTAATACACACGCAGTAATGTTTCTCAGTTGTGTTTCCCTTCTATTCTTTTCCAAGCTGATCATCATTCTTATTTTCTGCTAAGACAAACACTATTATTTTGTACCAATGTTCTAGTTTTGGAAGAGTTGCATTTGCACAAAACAGCTAGTAAAGAAACTCAGTGTACTGACTTCACATGATTCAAATGTGCACATCATTTCCTCAGGAATAAAATACGGTAACACAATTACTGCCATAAATAAGAATAAAAATGGTATTATATTATATATTATTGCTGTCATATCAAAAAGCATGAAGCCCCATTTTTATACCATTTCAAAAAAAGCAGCAAGGAGCTTTTCATTGTAGGAAGCTTCGACCAGCAGAAATGGACGTATTCTCTCCTCCCTCCCCCTTTCTTCTATCTCTCTCTTTTCTACCTCTTGTTCCCTCCTCCCCTTTTTCTCTCTTTCTTTCCCTGTTCTCTCCCTCTCTCCTTCCCTCAATCCTTTCCTCCCTCCCTCTTTCCTCTCACTCTATTTTCTCCCTCTCGTTTCCTCCCTCATTCTTTACCTCTCTCTCTCTCTCTCTCTCTCTCTCTCTCTCTCTCTCCCTGCTCTCTTTCTGTATCTCTCTGTTTTGCTCTCTTTCCTTTCATCCCCTTTTGTTCTTTCTCTTACTTTTTATCTCTCCTTGCACACTCTCTGATTTTGCCCTCCCTCCCTCCCTCTTTTCCGCTCTTTCCTCTCTCTTTCTCTCCCTTCACATTTTGATTCTCTCCCTCCCTCCCTCCCTCCCTCTTTTCTCTTTCTCTTTCCCCCACCCTTTTCTCTGTCCTTCCCTTTTCTCTCTCTCACTCTCTCTTTCTCCTTCCCTCTTTGTCTTGCTCTCTCTCTTTTCTCTTTCTTCCCCTTTTCCTTCACACTCTAATTTTCTCTCATACACACTCTCTCTTTCTGTCTGTTTCTGTCCTCCCTCCTCCTTTCTCTACTTCTCTTTTCTCCCTCTCTTATCCACTTCCCCTCTCTCTTTATTTCTCCCTTCTCATTCTCTCCCTTACTTCTTCAACATTTTCTTGTTTCTCCCTCTCATTTCTTTCTCTCACTTTCTTTCTTCTTCCTTTTTCTCTCTCACTGTTTCACTCCCTCTTCTTTTTTTTCTCTCTCTTTTCTCCCTCTCATTCCCTCTGCAACTCTTTCTATCTCCTTCCTTTTTCCCTCTCACTCTCTTTCACTCCCTCTCTCCCTCATGTTCTCTCTCTCTTTTCACCCTTTCATTCCTTTTGCCACTCTTTGTCTCTCCTTCGCTTCTCTCTCCTTCATTCTCTCTTTCTCTCCCTCTCTCCCTCCTCATTGTCTCTTTCTCTCCCTTTTCACCCTCCCATTCCCTCTTCCTCTCTCTCCCTCCCCCTTCTCCCTCTTTCTCTCCTTCTGCCTCTCTCTCCCTTCTCTCTCTCTCTCTCTCTCTCTCTCTCTGGTTATGATAGTGAGTGTTCAGTGTGCGATGCAGAAGCAGACGGTGCGGACGCTCTCTCTGATCCTCTGCATGCTCTCCTACCTGCTGGTGGGCGCCGCCGTCTTCGACGCGCTGGAGAGTGAGACGGAGAGCGAGAGGAAGCGCATGCTGGAGCAGAAGCGCGGCGAGATGAAGCGCCAGTACCGCTTCAGCGAGGAGGATTACCGCGAGATCGAGCGGGTGGTGCTGCAGGCGGAACCCCACCGCGCCGGCCGCCAGTGGAAATTCGCCGGCTCCTTCTACTTCGCCATCACCGTCATCACCACCATAGGCAAGTTCGGGTCCTTTTGGTGACGTACACAGTGGACAGGAGGAGTAGATTCCTTCATATTCTAGAAGTTGCTGAGCCACAGGTCTGCACGCGCTTCACCATCTGGTCTGCTGCACCAGCGTGGCCACTTTATTAGAAACATCATTCCGGCTTGAGTGCTGACAGATGATGCTGCCAACCAGGCTATCGAACCAGCATCACTCACAGTCCAGTTTAATACCAACACCACCACAGGCAAGAATGAGTTTATAGGGAAATTCCACCAATTTTTCAAAATTTCTGCATAATTCAGTGGCTGAGATGTAACCAGAGTGGTTTGGTGTGAAATATTTCAGATTTCTGTACAGTGGTACTGATAGGAACCAGGGGTCACCATGACTACAACACAAATATAGATATTTATTTACATATTTATTTATCTAAAACCACCAGTGAACCTACACGTCTTCCCAGCTTTTACATGGAACGTTGATGATGGGAAAATAGTGGAAAAGTTTTCTTTAGGGTCTGTTTTTCCTAACTGCAACCTGCGTGTAGCCCTGCACCTTGAATGGGTCTGAAAATGTGTTTCAAGCCAAAATTTTCTCAGCATATTCATATTCATTTCATGTAATAGCTTTCTGTGAGGGAGCTTTTAGAGGTGGACATCCTATCACCACCACTGTGAACAATGACTTACATCTTAATAATTTAATCCAGCAGAATTTTTCAGTGGAATTATTGTTTTATAGGTAGACTGAGGCATAGTTCCTCTGAAGGCATGTTTCTCCATGATGTTTTGCAGAAATGTATATTCTAGGATGAAAAGCTGCCTTAATATTCTTGGTTGTTCAGACATGCATGACCATTTTTGGCTTTAATGCACTGTAATCACTGTAAGAAATGATATCTTGGCAATTTTTGATTTTGAGATTTTTGTAAGAATGTTATAAGATCATCTACATTGTTTATTAATGCAATATTATGTTTTACTGTGTTCATTATTTTACTGTGAAAATCATCTCATAACATTGGCTGTTATACCACAGCAAATCATGGTGAGATTAATGTAGAGCTGCAGTGCATGGCATTATAGAATATAACAAACAGATTTAATAAAAAACTGTTAAGCTCACATTTGTGCAAATTATGGACAAAATTAAACTGTCTGTAAAATCTGTATTTCCATTTAAAATGCTTACTTGAGGTATTTTATGCATATACAGTGCAAAACATGGTGACTAAATATTTGATTGAGTTTGAATATAGTTTTACTTTATTTATATTAGCTAAAAATATATATTTGTAAGTCTGGTAATTAAAAGTGAACATTTACATATGTAAATTTACAGTACAATACTCACTATTGGGGTGCAGTTTCACTACATAAAATAATTCAAAACAGGTAAATAAACATCTAATAATAAGTTAGATACTCTTAAAATATTCTTAATTTATGTCAAAAGGACAAATATTACTTATACTGTTACATATGTCTAGTGGCCTCTTTAGTAGAAACACCTTCATTTTACTTCCACTAACTAGACACTTTATTGGAAACACCCACCTTCTACTTTCACTAACTGGACACTTTATTGGAAACACCCACCTTCTACTTCCACTAACTGGCCACTTTATTAGAAACATCTACCTTGTAGTTCCACACACTGGCCACTTTATTAGAAACACCCATCGTCTGCTTCCACTATCTGGCCACTTTATTAGAAACACCTACTTTGTGCTACCACTCACTGGACACTTAATTAGAAACACCTACCTTGTAATTCCAAACACTAGCCACTTTGTTAGAAACATCATGTACTTCCACTAACTGGCCACTTTATTAGAAACACCTGCCTTATAGTTCCACTATGCAGGCATACAGTTACAGACCGTAACACATTTGCTGCTGCAGTTTATCAGTCCTCCTCCTCCTCATTCATTGTTGGACAGTTTCTGACCACAGGAGTGCTGTTGTCCAGATATTATTTGGATGGTGGTCCATTCTCAGCACAGCAGTGACACTGACATGGTAGTGTATGTTGTGCTCGTATGAATGTATCAGACACAGAGGTGTTGCTGAGGTTTCTGTGAATCAGTCTCTAACTATGCACCAGCAAGGTGGCACTACAAGGTAGCGGTTTCTAAAAAAGAGGACAGTGAGGATGTACATCAGTTGTTTGACTGTGGCCTTCCTTCATTGCAGGATATGGCCATGCTGCTCCAGGAACTGATGCTGGCAAGGTCTTCTGCATGTTTTATGCTGTCCTGGGCATCCCTCTGACCCTGGTAATGTTCCAGAGCCTGGGTGAAAGAATGAACACTTTTGTCCGGTTCCTCCTCCACCGAGCCAAGCAGTGCCTTGGCTTCCGGCGTACGGAAGTCTCCATGGAGAACATGGTTCTGATCGGCTTCCTGTCTTGCTTGGGGACACTCTGTGTAGGAGCGGCTGCCTTTTCCCACTTTGAAGGTTGGACCTTCTTCCATGCCTACTACTATTGCTTCATCACCTTGACTACCATTGGCTTTGGAGACTTTGTGGCCTTGCAGAAGAATGAGGACCTTCAGGAGAAGACACCATACGTGGTCTTCAGCTTCATGTACATCCTGGTTGGGTTGACGGTGATCGGGGCCTTCCTTAACTTGGTGGTGCTGCGATTCCTGACGATGAATAGCGAAGATGAGAGAAGGGATGCTCAAGAAAGGGCTTCAATGAAGAGACGTCAAAACCTGGGATTCCTAGCTGATGGAAGAGACAGGCACAGCCATAGTACCCTCTTTCTGCCAATGGAGGAAGGCACCAGCTGTACCAACCTCATTCCATCCCCAGCGGATGAAAGATATTCCCGTCCGACCCTGCCTCGGCTTCCTTCAAGCCCATCCCATGAGCAATCTTGCTTAAGTTCCTTCTACTCCTATGTCTGCTACCGCCTTGGCTTGAGCAACAGCATCATCCCATCCCAACATGAGCATCCCAGCTGCCACATCAAATCAGTCTACTACAACTCCATTTCTTACAGAATCCATGGGGATTCCCTGACCAGAGACAACACTGGGCTTTCTTCCCCGGGTAGCAACCTTTCTCCTGGGCATAGCTTTAAAGAATTCCCCCGCTTACGGAGGAAGTCAGTGTAACTTGCCTCATTTTAAGCAGGCTTCATTTTAAGACAGTATTTGCACAGGTTGGATGCTGAATATTATACACATCTATTTTTGTAGCACACAATACAAAATAGACAATGATATACAACAAAGGTCTTTCCTAAGAAGTGATTTAAAGTCTTTTCAAGACAATCTAAAACTTGCTGGGACATTTGTGAACAGGTTGTATATTAATGACCCCGTGAGGGTGATTCTTCTATTTCTATAAGCAAATGTCAATCCTTAAAGTCCCAGGGAGTCTAAACCCATGTTTCCTTTTTAAGTAGGTCTTGCTTGTCCTATAAATAACATACTAGTGACAAATAAATGGTCTCCCCTTTTGGTGCAAACCGGACACTCCTGCGTAAGCAGTACCCTTACCAATCAAAATCATGCTTTTTAGGCTTGTCCTGCGCACACATGTTGTACAAAGCCACGTCCATCGCGGTCTCCCTCTCTTCAAGAGGTTGTGAGCGAAAGCTAACAACCAAGCGAAAGCTGACCTAGCACACATAACTGAGCTATCAAGCTACCTCATCTCCTTCTGTTTGTTCATTCAGCCGACCAGCCATTCCCTGGATGCACATCCAGCAGTAAACTGAATAAGAATCACACCTTCTGTATAAAGTCTGGATGTTTTAGTTAACAGACACAGTAGTGTCTATAAAAGTTAGTTTAGCTGTCTGCCACAGCATGTTGGGGTTAATATTAAGTCATAAATATGAGCTCAAAATGCAGGCTGTCAGCTTTTATTTGATATTAATTTAATATTTACATCCAATTCAGTTGAACAATGTTGGAATTACAACCATTTTCATACAAAGCCTCTCATTTATAGGGGGCTCAGAAGTAATTGGACAAAAATCATACATTAAATTGTCATTTTTAAAACTTGGTTGCAGATCCTTTGCAGTCAATGACTGCCTGAAGTCTGGAATCCATAGATACTAGGTTTCTTAGCTGGTGATGCTCTGCCAGGCTTTTACTGTTTTGGCTGGCTTCCGTACAGTTGCATCTGTGAAGTGCTGTATAGTGAGTTTTGAAGCATTTGGCTGAATCTGAGCAGATAATAGAGGTCTCTACACTTCAGAATTCATCCTGTCAGCAGTCACATTATCAGTAGATACAAAGTAATCAGTTCCATTGGCAGCCACACATGCTGACGCCATAACACTACCTCCACCATGCTTCACAGCTGAGGTGGTATGCTTTGGATGAGCACTTTCTTCCCTTCTCCATGCTTTACACTTCCCATCATTCTGGTAAAAGTTATTCTTTGTCTCATCTGTTTATAATATGTAGTTACAGAACTGTACAGGCTTTTGTAAATGGTTTTTGGTTTTCCTGTTTTTGGTTTACATCTTGTGGCAAACCCTCTGTATTTGCTCTGGTGAAGTCTTCTCTTGATTGTTGACTTTGACACAGATGTGCTGACTTCCTAGAGGGTGTTCTTGATCTGGCCAACTGTGTGTTCTTTCTTTTTAAGAATGTACAGCTCACTTTAAAGCAGAATAATGAGGGAATAACATGCACCTTGCCATGGAACAGGTGAACAACCCCAATATGCTGTGTTAGACTGCTGAAATAACTATACCTTTGTCAGCATCCAAATATTTATGGACCTGAATGTATATGTAGAATATGCTTCTGCTTGCTTGCAAAGTTGTGTTGAGTTCTGCTTCACTGCTGGCTGTGTTGGGTTGAGGCATATCAATCAAGCATACTCATTAGAATATTAGGCCACACCCAAATGTTTCTCAGATACGTAGGATCAGCAGTTTTTAAGCAGTGTCTTTTTCATCCACACTTTGCTGAATGTTTAATATATGATTCGAAGTTAGTATTGCACAAGCACTTATAAGATTTTACACTGCATTCTCTGGGACTTTAAGACAATAAGTTTGTCACAAAACACAAAATAAGCCCATCATGGTCTAGAGTTTCACAAGAATGCTTTTTTTTGTAGCAGCTCTCTAAGTGTACCCCTGCGGGAGATCATGCTGTTTTCCACATTATAGCAGCTATTACACTCTTGCTAAATGCGTTTTTTTTAGGCGACAGTATCACCCGGAAACACCTGCACCTCTAAATTGGCATCAGTCTTCCCCATTAGGGAAAAGAGAGCTGTTTTACAAACAAGCCTATTATTTTCATTGTGAAAGACGCTTTTTTTTGGCAATGCCAAGGGATCAGCTTTTGTCTGGCCTTATTCTAACCAATCGGTTTCCACTTTATTCCTTTGTGAAATCATGTTGGACTTCTTTCTGTACTCCTTTCTAGCTAAGCGTTAATTACCGAAGGCAAAAGATCATCCTCCTACGCTGTATATTTTTAGAAAGCCCAGCCCTGCCTGGTTCCTTATATTCGAAAGAAGTGATTGATTTACAAGAGATGTCTGTACTGTACATTAGAGTATGGCACATGATCATGTTTAGCTGGATGTTTTAAGAGTTTTTGTATCTTTTTACTGCATGCAAATGCAAATGCATGGCCAAATGAATGTGATGGGAGAAACTCTTGAAACAAGACAATCACGTCTGCATGAGAATAGTAAGCTCCCAACTACGATCCCACTGGGAGACATTTCTATTTAGAATGATTCTTTAATTTCTCAAGCGAAAATGAAAATGATAAGTGAAAATGAAAATCCTTTAATTCTCCTTTTTAGCATCGTCTGAGATGCAAAAGAAAAGGGGCTGTAACATGGAGATACCCAGTGCCTGAGTGAAAAAGACTTGGCTAACTTTTCGTTTTATATTTATGAGGGCGGCATTTGATGATATTAAATTTGCACCAGAGGCTCTTGGCCCTAAAACTGAAGGCATTTTCACTGGCTGCTGTCAGCAGCATTCAGAGCCAATATCAATTCTGCATGCATTAGCATGTCCTGGAAATGGAGATGATTTATACTGACGTAGCTTGCATCTGAGCTTTATTCTAACACATCGTTGATGATATTTGCCTGTCCTGCCGTGAAACTAGATGCACACAATGCACAATCTTTATGAGTTCAACCTGAAAACTCCATCCTGATAGCACAAAAATGACAATAACTACTGTATACAATACCTACACTTGCACAACCTACCACAATTAGCTGTCTTTTGTTTCGTCTAATAGGCCCTTTTCACAAGAAATGGAATGGCGTAAATGCTGGGTAAAACAAGTTCCACTATTGCCTTATAGACAGTTATTAATCTTAGAAATACAGGTGTTCGTATCACATCAGCTCACCACAGAAAGGTGAGTCACTTTATCTTTGTCATAGTTGCCAAGATTGGAATTCAAGGATGTGTCCAGAATGGTTGGAGAACCAAACACACAACAACGTGTGAGTCCAAACTAAATAAAGGATGTAAATGCTTTGTCAATGGACAAGTGAAAATAACCATAACCAAAATGCTAGATTAGCCCTGTTAGCTTGAAACAGCTTGCTAACAATAACTAGGTAGTTGACAAAAAGCTAGAGATGCACACATACCAGCAGGGAGGCACGCTGGGCCGTTGTGGTTTGTAGTGCTGCTGTAGACGTTTTACTCGCTCTCTCAGATGCCGACAGCTTTTGAGGTAGAAAATGAAAACTGTTCCTCTGAAAGCGGCTGCAGCAGCAACTTTAAAGCACGAACTGCACGTTAACTTTAGTCAGCAGTGCCGAAATGCTGACACAGAGGTTCTTTTCCTCCGTATGATGAAGTTTATTCCTTTGTTAAATGCACAGACTCGTTTCTCTTCTGCTCATGGTCAGCTGACAAACCACTGGTTGTTTTTGCTTCAAATTCGAACACTTGAGTGAGCTGAACACGCTCTGCTTGTCATCTTTGTTATTGTTATTGCTTTAGTGGAAGCAACATTACCCTGCAATGACAACTTCCGGTAGAAAAAATGCAGAAATGTGAAAAGGGCCTATTGGTTTTCACTTTATTCCTATGTGAAACCATATTATACTTCTGTTTCTTACTGAAGGCAAAAGATCATCCTCCTATGCCATATATTTTAAGAAAACCCAGCTGTGCCTGGTTCCCTATATTCAAAAGAAGTGATAGATTTGCAAGAGATGTCTGCACTGTACTAACATAGCATGTACTTGCATGTGATTAGTTAGCAACACTGTTAGGCCTTGTTGTACATATAAACTACACAGCTGAATACAAAATTTTGGTCACATTACATGATTTTACTATTGATTTTCTAAGCGAAACAAAGTTACACATTCTCTATAGAAAACATACTTAAGTATTTTTCTGCAAATTTTAAATCGCAATTTCTATTTTTTTGCTAAGTGTAACCTACTGAAAAAAAAAACAGTTATTTAATATGCCATAACTGGTGCACAAGCCACAGTTTATGTTTTATTTTTCCCCCAGTATGTTAAAGTCAGCAAATAAATGGTAATTGTGTATTAAAATATGCAGAAAAATCTGAAACAAAACATAGGGCGTCCAAACTTGCACTAAAGAGTAAATGTACAATGACATAATCATGTCTTGGTCGTGGTAGATGTTCTATGCTGTCATGACAGACTGTTTTCAGTAACATAACAGTGTGTATGTTTACGTACACTTAATAATCTGATAACTGCAGAAAATCGGATTTTGTCAAAAATTCGTTCAAGGTGTTTACATGCACTTAATAATCAGATAATGGGAGAACTACAGGTCTACACGAGTCAGGCAGTAACTGGCATGTAGTTGGTTTCAGCATCGCTCCAAAAGTGTTGTGTTGTGTCTCGTGGGTGCTGTGTTAAACTCTGCTTGCTGTTTCTGGAAGAGTGTTCTGTTTTCACACATGCGCAGACTGAAAGAAATGAAAGAAATCAGAGTAAGAGTTCACATGCATGGATGCTCTTTATCAGAGTCCTAAATCAGATTTCTAGGCCTTAATCCAATCTAAGAAATCAGAGTATGCTGTTTACATGACCACTTAAATAATCAGATAAATGCATGTCAGCATACTCAGTGTTGTGTAGTCATCAAAGTAATTGCAGGGCTGATACCATAATGTTTGATGTCATGACAGACTACATCATGCTAATTTCTACTATGTGTCATTATGACCTCAAACAATGACATCTGCCATGACAGTTCAAGGCCACCAGATTGTTTTTCATGAAGCTGACTCTGAGCATGCTTCAATTTCTCAGCATTTTGCCATTACTACATTAAATCAAAGCCATACAGAGACCACAGAAAGCAACAGTAGATCACATGCAGTGTGAAATTTACACAGAGAAAGGCAGCCAGTCATTTTAGATAAACAATACAAAGGCTAATGAAAACAGCACAGCTCAGTTAGTTCATGCTGGTTGACTAGCCTACCAGCATCAGAGACACTGGTTTTGATGTTGACCAGCGATGCTGGTCCATGCTGGATGATGCTACGTGTGCATTCGTCATACAGTGGCCTTAACAGTAATGAACTTTTGGCTCTGTTATATTACTGGACATAATCTGTCATGACAGCTTATGAGACCATATGACATCTGTCATGGTTATGTCAATGTTATGTGAATGTTATGCAGCAAGGTTCACATAAAGTGTTATTGTTTCTTCTTCTTTAGTTTCGCTCTGGAGCTATGAGGCTAATGTAGCTATTAGGTAAGCATGTCATACAAAGCCTGAAGCCACATAAGGAACTCTATTACACTTCCGGTCCCTCAAGCTTTATATGCATGAATGTGTATATCCACGAAAAGTGAATTTTGTACATATTGTACGAATCCTGGAAATAGTCTTTTAGTCAAATATGTAGTAATTCATCTTGAGACCAGGCTGTTTAATGAGCTTGGCAATGCTGCTTTTAGCTAGTGGTGCAAAATGTTTTGGCTGTTTTCTTAAATTTTTTGGTTGTTTTCTTCTAGCTTTTCATTCTCCCTATGGCACTCGGCCACATGGAAAATGAGGATCTGTGTAATCCCAAGCTTAAATAAAGAATACCATGATGATGATCAGTGTGCGAAATACCCCTTAGTATTTGGGTGGGACCCATGTCGGCTGGCTACTTCAGTGTTTACAGACTGCTAACTCACTCACCATAGTGGCATTAATGCTTTAATGGCAACAAAATGTTTGGTTTTACAATTTTTCTGGAAATGCTCTTTTTTAGTTTGTTAATAATCTCTTCCACACATTAATTGAGATCTTCTTTGGTCTTCGGTTTGAAAAATGAGTCACACTTTTCCTTCCAGTTTCTTTAGAAATTGGGCTAATTTTCAGATTTTACAAATATACTACGACATATTGTATAGTTTTTTAGAAGTATCTCAGGCATAGTTACAGTTGCTATGCTATGAATGACCAACTGGGTGAGCCAGTCTGCTACGGTGCCACCCAGTGCTGCTAAAAGACAGGAGGTCTGTATTGTGCACCCTGATGATGACAATGATAACGATGATGATGATGATGATGATAACAATGATGATGATGATAACAATGATGATGATGATGATGATGATGATGATTTGAGATTATTTAACAATTTGTTTAATTCTTCAGGCATGCAGTTAACACAATGCTTACTGGAGACTATAAGCTTACGTTACTCATTAGCTACATTAGCCTCGTAGCTCCAGCACAGAACTTCAGACACCACACGTCTTGACTGATCGACTACATTTGGGGCAAAAGGAAAAACTGGGCAAATCAGATTTCTTGCCAACCTATCCCTGAACTAAAGATGGCCCAGGTGGCAGTGAAGAGGAGGTTTAGCTTAGCCGCAGATATGATAAGGTTTTAATAGTGCCTTGGGGACGGGGTCAGCACAAGTCCAGCTTACCAAACACAGGCCTTCGGTACTGTTTAGGGAACAATTTTCACAAAATTATTTAATCATTCCCTTTTTGTTCCAGAATTGCATGTCTGTGCTGCTTCTCTGTTTGCCAATGTAACACTTTATTTTGATGGTCCACTGTATGATGACATTGTAGGTGTTCACCTTATATTAAACTGTCTTTAACCTAATATCTATTTGACTATTCAACACTTACTTTTACACTAATGTAGGGGACTAATAGGGGAATTTTCAAGATCTCTGTATAATTTAATGGTTATGATAAAAACAGAGTCATTCAGAGTGGTTTGGTGTGAAATGCTCTGTTCTAGAGAAACTTACAGAGTCAGAATTGTTCACAGCGGTGGTGATAGGAACGCGACGTCTGACTTTGTTTACATCCTAACGATTGAATTATGCAAATTCTGAATTATTGGTGTAATTCCTCTTTCAATGTCAACCCAAAACCTAAATCTAATCCCCAAATCCAGACCCTAAACCCAAAACTGGTTCTAATCATAGAGCTGATGCTGTTTGTTATTATGAAGGCTCATTCCTACCAAACACAGGAGGAAAAAATCACTTTTTTTCCTGCTCTGACTCTGACAGCAGCATGGCAAAATAATGACTATCCGAAAAAAAATTATTAAATATTTTAAAATAATGACTTAATTTCTTGAAATAATTAATTTCTCCAAATATTGACTTAGTATATTGAAATAATAACTTACTGTCTTAAAATATTAACTCAGTATATTAAAATAACTTACTGTCTTAAAATATTGACTTACTATCTTGAAATGATCACTTAATTTCTCATAATATTGACTTTGTATATTGAAATAACACTTAATTTCTCAAAATATTAACTTATAACTTATTGACTCTAAATATTGACTTAGTATCTTGAAATACTGGTTTTAAGATGTTATGTCCAAATAAAGATAGTAAGTAATCACATTTCAAGATAGCAATTAATTATGTCCAAATAATTTGGAATTAGTATGAGATTTTAGTATTTTAATATTGTCTTTGTTTTGACACAATATGTCACTATTTTGGGAAAATAAGTCAGTATTTTTACACGCTGCTGCCAGAAATAAAGAGAAAACAAAACCCAAATCTTTTCTCCCCTCTAAGTAACAGGAACGCGCTTCTGTAGTTTATAATTAACAGGATTTGACAGTGTTGATTTGTAAATGCTATTTTAGGGCTTCTAACATCTGGCCAGAACTGAGAGATGAGAACGTTTTGAGCTAATGCTGGACCACAGTTCTCTTTATGCTGTTTATGAAGGAGCACTATATTTATACAGCACAATACAGCAAAATCAAATTTCACCAGATTATTTCTCTACATGTTTTTGTGTAGATAAGCTGCAGTGGACCACTAGAATAAAGCGTAACTGAACTGATAAGTGACCTGGTTATTATATGTGCTTTATGTTTTAAGTCTTTTTTCTGAAGCTGCAGCTGCTTTTCACACCACTGATTCTGATTTTTTCCTCTGCTGAGTTCAGAGACTCTGAAATGGCCTTGAGGAAGCGTCTCAGACACTCTCACTCAAACACAGCGGCCTGTCGTGATCAGTAAACACAGATTGCAGTTTACAGGAGGACGATCTTCTCTTCCTGAAGCCTCCGGCTCTTTTCTACAGCACTGACTGAGTCTCATGTAGCGCTCGCGGCTCAGAAACGAGGCCTGAATACCTGATGGTGCAGTTAAACACTGGAATAAATCATATAATTAAAGTGTACAGTACAGCGGCCTGCCTGACCATCACTGCTATGAGTGGACTGTACATTTAATATGCAATATCTCTCTCTTCCTCTCTCTCTCCACACGCACACAAACACACACACACACACACACACACACACACACACACACACACACATATATATATTTCACTTTCACTTAGTTTCTGTCTTTCTCTTTCCTTTTTAACTGTTATTTCCTTCCCTCTATTTCTATCTTTCTATTCTCTTCTCTCATTCTTTTACTTTCTTCTCTCCCTTTTACTTTGATCTCTCTCCTACTCTAACTCACTTTTTTGTTCCTTCTTTTACTTTTTTCTTTCTCCCTAGTTCACTCTTCCTCTCTTTCTCTTTTTTTCTTGTTTTTCACTTTTTCTTTCTCCCTTCTCCTGACCTCTCTTCTGTTTCTTTCTTTCACATTTCCTTCTCTCTTGTAGGGCTGATTCATATCTCTTTCTTTCTTTCTTTCTCATCTTTTTTTAGTTTTTTTCTTTCTCTATACCTTTAACTTTTTTCTCTTCTCTTTCGCTCAGTTTCTCTCCATCTTAACTTTGTTCTTTCTCCTTTCTATTCTCACTTTAACTTTTTTATTTCTCTCCTCCTCTCACTCACTTTTTTGTTTCTCTCGCTTTCATGTTTTTATTTCTAGTCCTTTTCTTTCTATTTCTTGTATCCTTTTTCTTTCTTTCTCTGAGAGAGACTTTTTCTCTTTCCTTTTTCATTTTTCCACCTTCTCCATGCTTTTACGTTGTCTCTCAAAGGCCTGAACAATATTTTGGGGAAAAAGTCACATTGTGATGTTTTATTATTTTCTTTCTTTGCACAAGAAGTAATGAGATATTTGAAAAACAAAGAAAGGAGTAAAAGAAAAGAGTGACAGTCACAATTATACTGCTAAACATGTTTGAAACAGAAAGAACTCCTGTAATTGGTCAAAATGCTCATAGCACACAATAGAATTGTGATTGGCTAGAGGGCTCATTTGCATATTCACACCTCTTTAATATCAGTATCACTAAGGCTAATGTCAGGTTAATGACTAACTAACAGTTTACTGTGCAGCCCTTTGATTTATTTTAGCTCAAAGCTGCAGTGAATGAATTTCTCTCTTTTATTTCTCCCATTCTTCAAAATAATTCGCTATCAGTTTTGTGTAAACATGTTGAAATCTGTTCATCCAGGGACTCAATTTGCATCAGAACAGTTTTATTGATTATAACAAACTCAACATACAATTCAGCTTTTAAATCAGGTTCAGCAACAAAACATAACACATCTAGAGTCAGACACTACTATTAATAATGCTGCTGCATTGCCTTGTAATTGCTCTACTACTGATAAATTGTCCATATATAATACATAAATATCCCAAATTAAACAGCTACACCTTTACCACAGTGCCATTTCACACAACTGGACATATATTCCACAAGTAAGGACAATCACATCAGCTATCAACACGCACGATTGCTCAGGAACAAAATCCCATCGGTTTCACACTTCAGAGACACAGAGAGCGTGAAAAGAGAAGGAAATGTGAGCATAAAGCTTCTGAACATCTTTATGTACACATTATAACGATCATGTAATTGCTATAAATGACTCAAAGCGCTGGTGTGCATTGTAACTGGCAGACAGCAGCAGTGTAATAGACCAAAGCTGATGCTCCGCAGACAGTAGCTCCATTCCATCTGTCATGTCGGCCATCTGCTACACAAAAAAAGGTAAAAAAAAAAAGAACAAAAAAGGCACTTTGATCAAATCCTTACGAATCACTGTGATCTTCCTCTTGGTCCCATCATCGCTTTCACTGTCAGCGAGGAAAGACTGACCTAACTGCATATAAATTGCGGCGGCTGCTCTGCCGTTCCCTTGGCAACATTTTCTGAGCCGCAGTACAGTGCGCGGTGGTGCGATGCACTAGATTCTCCATTACAGTACAGGTTTGTATGCTATTGACAGTACATCAGTAGTGCGTCTACTGGATCAGTCGGGTTTCATGACTTTCAAAAAAGGTCTTACTTGAACATACCAGCTGAGTTAAAAGTAAAGGGTGCCATTACTTTTTTTTAGAGTGAAAATCTTGTATTTTCCTTACATTAAAGGGCCCATATCATGGAAAATCAACCACATTTTCCTTACTTCTTTGAAAGCAAGCAGTTCAATGTAGTATGTAAAACTGTAGTTTTAAAATGTACCATTTAAGCTGTTTTGAATCAGTTTTTCTAATGGCAGAAAAAAAAACAATGCATTTCCATACATAGCCCCGCCCATTCTTTCTGAAGTTATAAGAAGTGTTTGCAACACTTTATTTGGAGTGGTCCTTTGTAGACGATTAAACTCTTAACAGAGTAACACATCAGCAACATATCAGTGAAGTAGCAGTAGTGAAGCATCTGAATACACTGAAGTAAATATCTTAATGTTCTGTTGATACATTATTTACATTAAGTAGATCGTTCGATCGTATCGTTAATATGTTACTTCAATTACGCAAAACCTAACCTTGCCCAAACCTAAGCTTACCCAACCTTACCAAACACCTAACCATACCCAACCTTACGCAAATCCTAACCCTAACCCTGGCCCTAATCCTAACCCTAACCTTAACCTTAAACCAAAACATAATCCTAACCCTCTAATTTTTTTTCACATGTTACTGAGAGTCTGTTGAGTGTTTGTTTTATCTAAAAGGACCACTCAAAATAAAGTGTCACCAATGTGTTCTTCAGCCTGGAATGCTTCGTGAATGAGGCACAATACAGGGCAGCCAATCAGAACCAAACCCATTCACATATCAATCTTAAAGGTAATAAAAAAAATGTGCTGAACTCTAAGGTACAAAAATATGTTGGAAATTATGCAGTTGTTTGTGGTACATATAACCACCCAAAAACAAAAAAGTAAAACAGCAGAAAAAAAGAAGGATATGGGCCCTTTAGAAGTAATGGGTGCCATCACTTTTGGCTAGATTTATGGACTTGAATTAAACCTACACACTGGTTCTCCAAGGATCCCTTAGCGAAGAAAATTGTGTCATATAAAACCATGAACACTTAAAGAACCCCTGATTAAATTATTTTGCTAAACTGCATCAATATTCTGAGAAAACTAGTCATTATGTAATGGAAATGTCATCATTTCAAGATATTTCGATTTATTTTAAGACAATGTTATTTTGATATGCCAAGACAGTAAGTCATTATTTCAATATACTAAGTGACTATTTTATTTATACAGAACCATCTACAGCACATTCTCAATCAATCTGAAAACCATTTCATGATACAAGGAACCCTTTAATCATGCAAAGGATGCAGTGAGTGTTCATGGTTCTATACAGAACCATTTTCTTTATTGAAGAACCCCTGAAGAATCTTTTTAAAGAGTGTATTCTTGGACAAAATTGTAATGCCAGTGGTTTTACTATTTAATACATTTCACCCATTACTGTGCAACCTCATTACTTCTATTAATAAAGTTATCATCATCATCATTATCATCATTACTGCGAAGGCTTACTGCTAAAACCACCTCTCAGTCTAGGTTTAGACTTAATCCTGGACTGGTAATCTGGCCCTTCATGTCAAATCCATCCAAAGTTGATTTTTCTTTGCTCCTAGCACACTCTAGTGGTGCCAGAGAGTAATCCTCTAAACTCTTCTTCTCCATACATTCCAGAGGTTGGCCTCTGGGTGGCAGTATTGCCATAAAAAACCAAGTTAGGGTCTCAATCCAAGTTAGTGCACATGAAGTAAACAGGCACTATTTTCTTATTGGAAAAGCTTTCCCTCGTCATCGTCGTAAGCCCTCTCTTGCCGGCACCGGCACCGAAACCATCTGTGCCGGTTCACACTGCCGTTTTTGTTCACACCGCCCCAGCTGGGGTGATGCGCGTCTGATCTTCCTCAGATAAGAATACAACAAAGCCTCTGGAGGCGTGCAGTCAGACAAGGGCCCACACTTCTATTTCATTAATCATGAAATCTTCTTCGGTGGACAAAATGTCGTTATCAAACGTGTCGCAGTTCTGACTTCGACCCCGGATCAGGTCGCTGTTCAGCCACAGTCCAAACCTGCCCCTGAGAAGATGGTGGAACAGGACAAGAATGATTAGACACAGTCCAACGTAGGGGCAGTTTTCTGAGTGTTTTTCTGACCTATGAACAATGATTCAATTATGATTCTTTACACTCTTAAAAAGATGGTCCATCAAGAGTACTTTAGTATTTAGAAGAAAATGGTTCTATTAAGAACCATGAACACTTAAAGAAAGCTTTGCTAAACAAAGGGGTCTTTGCATCATGAAAGGTTCTTCAAATTGATGGAGAATGCGCTGTATATGGTTCTACATAGCACCAAAAACAGTTCTGCTATAGTTATGATGTCCAGCTTGTCACAGTAGAAGAACCCTTTTTGGTGCTAGGTAGAGTCTTTTTGAAAAAGTTCTATATAGAACCATCTGCAGCACATTCTACATCAATCTGAACCCTTTCACCATGCAAAGAACCCTTTAAATCATGCAAAGGGTTCTTTGAGCGTTCACTGTTCTATATAGAACCATTTTCTTTACTAAAAATCCCTTGAAAAACCATCTTTTTAAAGTGTGTATGAACTCTCAAATCTCATCATGATTCAGATTATTTTGGAATCGCACGGAATTATATAGTCATATGCAAAAGCGTGAGGAGGCGTAGCCAAGTTATATATCGTTAATTTTCTAGGTGAAAGTAAGTTAAAACATCCTCTACAGGGGACACTGAAATATGACATTTTTTCTGCTAATGTTTGTGCATAATTTATTAGCCGAGTTAACATATTGGACAAAAATGAAACATAAAATAAAAAGTCCGCCAAAAGTCTGCCAAACTTCTTTGCATAATTAAATATAACTGGAGAAACGGTTTATACTACAAACACTACACATTTCAAAATAGCCTGAACACTTTTATTTTGGGAAATAAATGCTAAAAATGTCCATACAACACAATTCAAAAGTTTGAACACTGGTCAAATTACATTTTAAACAATATGTGAAAATAAGTAATACGTCACCTACAGGGAACTTAAATGTGGCATCATTCAACAAATATTACTGCACAATTTATATTTATTTGCTAAGGGTATCATATTGGAAAGCATAAAATATAAAACGTGTCATAACTTTTGCACAGGCCTTAATTTATTTTTCTCCCCAGTGTGTTAAATTCAGCAAATAAACTGATGATTGTATGATTTACACTTCGAAAAATTTAAATTTTGAAACTTTGCACTGCACACAACTGCATTTTATACTTTACATTATAAATCAAAGAACATTACAAAATCTATAAAGTTGAATCACAAGTTATCATAATTAAAAAATGTTTGTACAGCAGTTTATTTACTGGTGTGTGATTATTTTGCATTACCTTCCTCCGCCAAAATGCAGGGAATCCACGCTTCCTTTAATGAAGTATGAGTTGTCACCGGTCCATTTGTAAACCTGGAACAAAAAAAGGAACAGGTTGTGATTTTTCCAGCCAAAACATTCAAATATCTCTTACTGTACAATCCCAGCACATGAGGAGCTTGTTCATTAGTTTATGAGCTGAATCAAAACAGAAAGATGTGCAGAGTGGTCCAAAGCTAAGGATCGAATCTACAGCAAATTAGATTTAAAAAGCTGCTTATTTGGGCAGAAAGTGTTTATTTGCTTAGAAAAACACTAATATTAAAACAAAACTAATTTTTTCACATTATCTTTACATATACATTCTATATATTATTTTGAGAATTAAGACTGTGGCAATATTGCATATAAGGCCATCTGAACTGAAAAGGGATAGATAGATAGATAGATAGAGAGAGAGAGAGAGAGAGAGAGAGAGAGAGAGAGAGAGAGAAGGGAGGGGGAATGATGAGAGGGTATGTTGAGAGGGTGAAAGAGAAAAAGGGGGGAGGGGGTGAAAGAGAAAAAGGGGGGGGATGAAAGAGAAAAAGGGGGGGAGGGGGTGAAAGAGAAAAAGGGGGGGGATGAAAGAGAAAAAGGGGGGGAGGGGGGTGAAAGAGAAAAGGGGGGGGATGAAAGAGAAAAAGGGGGGGAGGGGTGAAAGAGAAAAGAGAGAGAACATGGAGAGAGGGAGAGAAAGAGTGACAGAGGGAATGAGAGGGAGAAAATAGATGAGGGAGGGAGTGAAAGAGAAAGAGAGAAAAGGGAAAGAGAGAGAAAGAGTGGGAGAAGGAATGATATGGAGAAAAGAGAGACCGAAGAAAAGGGAGGGAGGGAGACAATGAGAAGGCAGAGTTAAAGGGAGAGAGGGAGACAAAAGAGGAGGGAGGACAGAAACAGACAAAGAAAAAGAGAGAGTGTATATGAGAGGAAATGAGAGAGAGAGAGAGAGAGAGAGAGAGAGAGAGAGAGAGAAAGAGAAAGAGAAAGAGAAAGAAAGAAAGAAAGAGAAAGAGAGAAAGAGAGAGAGAGAGAGAGAGAGAGAGAGGGAGAAGGAATGATATGGAGAAAAGAGAGACCGAAGAAAAGGGAGGGAGGGAGACAATGAGAAGGCAGAGTTAAAGGGAGAGAGGGAGACAAAAGAGGAGGGAGGACAGAAACAGACAAAGAAAAAGAGAGAGTGTATATGAGAGAGAGGAGAGAGAGAGAGAGAGAGAGAGAGAGAGAGAGAGAGAGAGAGAAAGAGAAAGAGAGAAAGAGAGAGAGAGAGAGAGAGAGAGAGAGAGAGAGAGAGATATTTTACTGACCTGTAGATGTGGGGAAAAGGAGAACAGAAAGGTTTGTCCTGTGCCGTAGTAGTGAGAGCTCACTCTAAGAGGGGCGGAGCATATGACGCCAAATACCTGCAAAGGTCAACATGAACATGTTAATTTACTACAAACATATGCTAATTTTGGTTCAACAATGTCAGACCTGAACTTCTTGTATGCATATAAATTTGGACAACAAAGGCAATTTAATATTCCCATAGGGAACAATGAAGTTTCTTATCTTATGAATGTTAATGTCATGAAGTCTCAATGGCTCCTCTGATTGGTCCCCTTCCGGTCTGCTTATCGCCTACACCTGTGCCTCATTACAGGTTGTATTCCCCCCACAGATTTTCCATGTGTTTGTATAATTCAGTGGTTGAGATGTAAACAGAGTGATTCAGAGTGGTTTGGTGTGAAATGGTTCAGATGTCTTTACAGTGGTGGTGATGGGAACCAGAGGTCACCATGACTACAACACAAATACAGACATTTTATTTACTATCCAAAACCACCAAAGAACTTGTGTCTTCTGGAATGTTGTTTATGGTAAAACAGGGAAAAACTTTTTTGGTGGGACTATTTTGCCTCACAACACCCTGCATGTATCCCTCCACCATGAATGGAGTGGATGAATTAAAAATATGTTTTAGGACAAAAGCTTAAACATATGATGTCTGGCAGTGTATCAGGCAGTGTATTCATCACCACCACTGTGAACAATTCTGACTGTAAGTTTCTCTAGAACCGAGCATTTCACACCAAACCACTCTGAATGACTTTAAACCATTTAATTATACATAAAATAAAAAAAGAAATTGGTGGAATTCCTTTTTAGCCTGCAGCGAGGGTCTGCATGCATCCCACGTGGAGCCAGTCTGTTCTTTTCTGTCTTTGTGAGTCTTGTTAGTGTTTTGTCTGCTGTGTTTCCCCATGTTACCTTAAAAGAAAGTGCAGACCAGTAGATATTATGACTGCACTCTGCTGCTGGCCTTGCTCATTTTAAAAGCTGCTTTGTGGCACTTTCCTGCTCCCTCTGAGATGATTACTTTTCTAAAAGTGTGTGTAACATGTAATGTTTGTGTAACCAGTTATACTCAGCACACCCTGACCGCTAAATGAACAGATTATTAAAGAACATAGTGTTTCGGTCAGCAGGCTTACCTGGCCAAAGGAGTCTTGGATCATCAGAACCATGCAGTGGTCCAGCTGTTCGGCCATCCTGTACAGCGTGCTGAGGCTGCTGCCGTGGGTTTGTGTCTCATAGATCAGCATCCAATTGCAGACGCTCAGCATGTCGGGGAAGTGCTGAGAGAGCTTAAAAAAAAAACAAAACATTTATACTTTTTACATATGTTTAGTTCTGTAAGTGTCAAAACAGATTGTTTATGACACCCTACACTCTTAGTGATTAAGAAAAGATTATAAATTTTAAAAATCACTCAGTTTCAGTCTTGAGAAAGTACAATCAGTTTAGAGCAGAAGTGCACAACTCCGGCCCTAGAGGGTGCCCAGTTTGGCGATTTACCTACTTAGATATGCCTAATTATATGTAACTGTTAATTGCCAGGTTTAGTGGCTGCGTTAGTACAGGGAAACCTAATTTGGCCGGACACCTGCCCTCCACACTGTTAGAAATAAAGGTTCTGTGCAGGTGCATTTTTCATTCATCAAGTTACAAACAATGTTCCCTCAAAAGGTACAACAGTGGTTTTAAGGTCCAGTTGAGGACCTTAAATATGTTTTTCCAGGTGAAAAGTACATAATTGTACCTTTTCATAACCTAATGTTTCAAAACAGAGCTATAAAATAAAGAGTCTGGAGACGAGACAGGGTGTCTGGAGTCAATACAACTTAGAACATATTTTCAGTGTAAAATATTTTCAATTTCAGTGGATTATAGCACAATTATGTTCCCTGACTAAAGGTACTGAGATGTACCCTTGAGGGTACCACCCCACTGAAAAGAGGGGTACTGTCCCAGTGACAGTTTTGTACCCTTTTTTCTGAGAGTGCAGGACTGGAGTTGTGCACTCCTTGTTTAGAGTTTCTAAAAAAAAAAAATGAAAATTTTCCTGGAAACAAATGTTTTAGATTTGGCTTTTATTTCACTTTTCAGTGCAGAAAAGCAATCTGCAGCACGTTCCTCAAAAGATGCCACCAAGGTTCTGGAACCTTTCAAGGAACTTTTTAGATCCTACAAGCATACCTGTCCAGACTTCCACAGACTTCTAAGGAATTACAAAGTTCCAGAACTACAGGCATACCTCTCCAGGGTTCTCAAACCTTCTAAAGAACTAAGAAGATCCAGAAAAGACACATTTCTACCAAGGTTTTGGAACTAAGGAGTTCAGGAACTACCAGTACATCTCCACTAGAAAGTTCCAGAACTATAGGCATACTTCCATGGGTTTCCATATCCTTCTGAAGAATTAAGGTTCCAGAACTTTAGGTACATTTCCACCAAAGTTTTAGAACCTTTTGAGGAACTAAAGAGTTCTGGAACTACAGTTGCATTTTTTCAGAGGTTCCAGAACCTTCTGAGGAACTGAAATGTCCTGGAACTGCAGGTCCATTTCCAGAGAGGTTTTGGAACCTTCTGAGGAACTAAGAACTTCTAGAAATATCTAGAGGGAAATCCACATAGTTCATGAAGGAGTTCACAGATGCTAAGCAAGGCTTGTATGTATTGGTCAGTCCACATTTGAATTTGTCCTGTCTTGCTCCATTAGTATCCATAACAGCTTCCTCTTGCAGGGTTTTAAAATTACTGGACGTGAAGGTTGCATTTGACCAATCAACAACATTCAGTGTGGCAGTAAAACCGTTCCTGGAACTAAAGCCCAGGAGATTAAATCTACCATGGTTCCTCTGGTGAAAACATGCCGAAAAGTTCCCAAAAAGTTCCTGAGTTCCCAAGAAAGTTTTTAGTTCCTGAGAAGGTTCCTGCGGTGGAAATGCACCTAACGTTAGAGATCCTCATATCCTTACCTGCTGTATCTGACTGAGGCTGAGCAGTTTGCTTGGCTCTGAGAGCTTCAGATCACACAGCAGATTTAAGTTGATCTCCTCCAGTCCCAGCGTAGGTGAGACCTCCCATGCGGAACAAGCACTGTCCAGGCTCTGTCTGTCCACTTGATCATCCTCGACCTCCACCACATGGAAGTCTTCGTCTTCTTCCTTCTCTCCTCCTCCTCCTCATCTTCAACACTTCCTTCATACCAAGTTCGGGAAGGCTTGTTTTTCCTGACCTGTGAGAACAAACAGGAGATGTAGGGTTTCATGTGAGACAGACATCCTAGGGCACCCGAGTGGCCAATTGAAGAATTAGCTATTCATGTTCCTCAAAGATACAGTACATGCGTCCTACTGGTCAAAAGATTGGAACCGAAGGTTTAAATAACATGAAACCAATTTTTGGATTCTAATATGTTGGTCTTTTGCAGCTTAATATGTCTACTAAGTAATTAGCGTGACACCATAACAATAAAAGAACCCTTCTGGGTGCTATACAGAACCATTTTCCAAAAGGTTCTATATAGAACCATATACAGCACATTCTGCATCAGCCTTAAGAACTCTTTCATGATGCAAAGAATGCTTTAATCAGAGGGTTCTTTGAGTGTTCAAGTGTTCTACTTAGAACCATTTACTTTAAAGAACCATTAGCAGTGTAGAATATCTAGAATTTTGAAAAATCCAGTATATTAATCATGTAATAGCTTAACCTAAAAAACGTAAAAAATATTCAATAAAAGATCTAAAAATATCTTTTGTCAAGTATATAATATTTAAGTCTATTGTGTACAAGTTATTACTGAATAAATTAGTAAAAAGACATAATAAGAAAAGTAATGTAAATTTTTGAGCAGTAGTGTTTGCTTCCAAATCTCTCTTTCATGAGCTTTGCTCCGGAGAAAAGAGAGGAAGAAAAAGCGTGCAATTTTCTGTTTTTGTCTCTCGCTCTCTCTCTCTGTGTGTAAGGAGGGTGTAACACTGGAAGTGACAGGATTTAAAAGCCTTCCGCCCATACTTTTTATTTACCTTACTTATTTTTATCCTTATACTGGATGTGCTGTTGGGCAGACAGTAATGGGGTTCCTCTGTGCCTTTCTTATTGCAACTGTCTCGTAAAAAACGGAAAATCACACACATCCATCACCTGGGAGACGGACAGAAGAGCTTTTACGCTGGCCGGACTAATGGCTACTGCACTCTGGCCCTGTACAAAACACATTGTTTTTGTGCGTCCTCAAGGAATTGTGCGTAAATGGCTTTTCTAAGGATTTCAGCAAAAGGTGCAAAATGAACAAAAAACACAGCAGCACTATTATGAAGTTTTGCCTGGACTTACTTTGCGCTTCACTGGTGAAGCACAAAGCTACTGCAAGTTCAAACTGCAGGGAAAACAGCACACAGGCATGCCAAGAAAAGGAACAGCTAGAATTTTAATTAGGCCTGAAATTTTTAATCAAACCCAAGCCCAACCCAACATACAGGAGCAAGTTAAAAACCTTCACCCATTTGAAGCCCTACAAACTCTGTCTGAACCTGACAAAACTCAAATGCAACTCGAACCAAAATGCAGTCCGACAGAATTCTGTCCAAACCTGACTGCAGCCCAAGAGAATTCTGTCCGAGCCCGACTGCATTCCAACAGAATTTTTTCCGGATCCGATTGCAGTCTGTCAGAATTCTGTCCGAGTCCAACTGTAGCCAACAAAACTCTGTTTAAACCTGACAGTAGCCCGACAGAGGTCTGTCCAAACCAGACACAAAACGGACCACATCCAGAGACCAAACATAATTCCCCATTCTTAATGGCAGCACTTTCTAACCTCTATATGGGTCCACATTCCAGTTCCTCTCACTTACACCTACAGACCTCACACATTAGTTTCATAGGAGATAATGAATAAGTCATAATAGACACTGACTAATAAGCAATACAGTTAATAAGTAAATGATAAGCTTTGGATTAAGGGGGTAAAAATACCTTGCATTGACAATGGCATCTATTATCTGGTCATCGATAAACAAAATCAAAACGAATAGCCTAATTACCACCAGATTCAATTATAAAAATTACATAAAGGAATAAATGCAGACCAAACCGCTTTGCAAGTCTGAGGTGACTTCACGTGGGATAAACCAGAGCATGAAATCTGAATCTGTCCTGAGACAAATATGTGAGAAATGATGTCTAGACCCAACCAGACCTGACGTGAATAGCGGGGTCCCGGTCAGGACAAATATTTCATGCTCTAATAAGAGTCTCCAGCAGTGACGCTGCCGTGGCCAGCTAACAGAAAGCAGCGTGAACGCAGATGGAGGCTGAGAAACAGAGGGATGGAGGGATGGGGACAGATTGACGGTGGAACTAAGCCACGCTGTCAGTGATGTATCAGCGAGCCAGGCGTGCTGCTTATTCGGGGATTCAATATGCCTGTGTTGGCAGGACGCGTGCACTGACACATCCAGTTGAGCAGCTGCCAGAAAACTTCCCTCGTCTTCCTGTTTCTGCAGACCCTCGGCCTACACTGTTACAGAGAGGAACTGGGACACAGACTTACATTCCCAGCACATTATTTTGGGCACAGGAATTGAAATAGTCCTGTAAATGCAGCGTGCATTGTTATCTCTCATCAGTTTAAAAAAACTGCATTTGTTGTTCAGGATGCCTAATTTTTTTTTGCACAAGCTGCCAAATTGAAGCAACAACTGACAAAAGGCCCATCATTTCAAATAATGTCAAAATGTCAGCACTCAAACATTTCAGATGTTTAAAGAGTTTCTGTATGTGCTTTCAACAATAGCTTGGAACAGAAAACTGCCAAATCATTACTTTACACATTTACCTGCTCTTCATACCAAGGAAGACAATTTGAACATGAAGCTGAATGTTGAAGCCAAATATATCCAAAGCACTAGCACACAGCTGCCTTATGCTAACTAAACCTAAGCAGATATTGTCAGTTAATTCAAGGGTACTAGCACGAAACCTGAAATTATAAAAGAAGGCTAAGAATACACTTACTTCAGGATTAAATGTAAAAATCTGTTTTATTAGAAATCAACCATTTTAGTTTTAGCATATGGCTATCTTCCAGATTTTTAGTTTAGTGAGAACACCTTTTACCTACGGAAAAAAAAATCACTTTAAAGCATGGCTTCAAGTAGCATATTGCTACAAAGTGGTGAAGAAGATAAAATATGACATACATTTTCAATAAATCATTTAAGTTACAATTAATAATAATAGCCATAAACAATTCTTCCACAGAGAAATTTGTTTAGCGTACGCTACAGTTGCCAAGCAAGGAGGGGAACTTTTAGTCACTGGTCAATAAATATTGCAGTCATTTCATTTTATTTTTTGTCATATAGTAATGAAAATACTATAATCTTGCAGTGTTTGAGGCAGAAATTCTGAACATACAACTACTACCACAACGCTAATGCTAATTTCCTTTAGCACCTCATTGTGATTTCCTGTCTATTGTTATCATCAAGCTAATGGTGCTACTGGGTTTAATGCTACTTGAGGCAGATCTACCAAAAACACGTCTAAAAGACATTCAAGTAACATATTTTTACTTCTTCTCTTGCAGTTTCACAGTGAAACATTCAGTAAACACAAACACTGGAGGAGTGGTTTAGCCCATTAGCTAGCTATCTTTTAGCCTGTTTAGCCTGCTATCTGCTAGCCTAGTTGGTAAGGAAGTAAAGTTGTTTCATTCAGTTTACACAAAATGGGGTTCTTGAATATTTTACAACTAGCCAGTCAGATTTTAAAACTTGAACTAACCATTTTATAAAAAATCTGCTTTATTATGGATCACAGTCTTAGTTTTAGCATAAGCTACAGTATTTCTGCTTCAGTGGGCCAGCTAAAAGTTAGTGAGTAAGTAAATAAAGAAGCAAATAAGTAAATACTGCTATCTAAGCAACAAAAGTCTCTATTGATTAATATCCAGAACAGAACTACAAAGGGCTGCAAATCCCATCATGCTCAATAGCAGCTCAGCTTCGGCCTTGCGCAGTTCACTCGCTGTGTTTATTCAGACCAAAGCCTGAACTCTGTCTCTGATGTCACTCTGTTAGCAGTCTGAGCACTTCCCCCACATTTATTACTGCACACCACTTACACAAACTGGTCATCCAGCTCACCCACTTTGATTTGAAGTCCTATTGTCATTTTTTTCCTGCTTTTTATCTCATCCATTACACACATCTGCCTGATTTCCATGTGAACAGCACTGAGATGACTGCAGGAGGTGGATAGCTGCTGCTTTGTAGCTTATGCAAAGCAAGTGCCAACTACACAGCCATTCACACCAGTTCACCAGGTGACATTTTAATTGATCCATTTGGCCACAAAAAGGAAAAACACACACACACACACACACACACACACAAATAGCTCGGCCTGGAGATGAATATGTATGCATGTGAAAGTGCTGCTAGAGAGTCAACATGAGCAACATAAACAGATTTTACCTTCACTGGCAACTTTATCAGGAACCACTGCTAGAAAAACAGCACAGACCAGCGGCAAAACCAGCTTACTGATGCTGTCCAAAGCAGTAACCACAGAAGAAGGCAAAAACCTTTTTTTGATGGAACTTTGATGGAAGTTATTGTAAAGATATTTTATTCCAACTGATTTTGGAGCATTTCTACTGGCCCATTTGACACTACTTTTTCACACAATACAAGCTGCTGTGTTCAAATTATGTAGAAAAGTAAAAAATACAAAAACAGATACTCGTTCTTCCTTGGGCAGTGACGATATGTTGTGTTTCGGATGCTGGTACCAGCATGACCCTGCTGAGTGACCAGCTAAAACAGTGCCAGACCAGCACAAAATTCATGTCAATCTGTGCCATGTTGTTTTTTGCAGGGTCACCACTTAGTAGCCCATCTGTTGCCATCCTTTAGCCATTCCTTCCTCAGTCCATGACCACAGCTGCTCTTGAGTAGATATTTTATGTGGTGACCCACTGTCAACCTAGCAGTGCCCCACATCCTGTTGCCTACATTATGCCTGTTATTATAAATAATATCAAGTCAATAGCGGTCACGTGCTCAGAAACAGCGTATGTGTTTATAATAAAGATGATCCCACATTTATAAAAGCTTATTTTTTTATTAGTTGGGTCACATTTCTACATCTACACAACAGGGGGCGCTCTACGGAGGCCTAAAGCTGCTGTATCTATTTTTTGGCACACATGCAAATCTAATCCTCCTGCTGATGGTGGAGTATCGATTAATCTTGTCTAATAGTCGCCACAAACAATGATTTAATGTTCAAGTCAAATATTGAGTCATTTCCATTACAATAGCTCGAGGCTTAGAGGTTTGAAATGGGCTCTCAGACAAACAGAGACTTGATTAATTGATTAACGCTCCAAAAAACAGCTTAAATAACAAGAAAAGCTCAAGAATATTGATCATAAACAGGTGCCACAACACAGAAAGTGCAATATAGTTTGAAAAAAGCATGCATACGCTGACCTGCAGCTCCGTACTACTATTATACACTTTTGCATGAAATTATTGCATGAAAAAAAGTAAAGTTTTTCTAACTTATGAACTAGAAGTGACAGTCTAATGCACTCACCATCAACTGGAAACGCAGAGATTTCAGCATCTTTCAGGCTGCTGGTAGTCCTGTACTCAGGTAAGTTAACGTAATATACAAGTGTGTAAGCGCACGGAAGTGAGTGCGCGTGCGAGTGAGCGGCACTTTATATGTGCACAAGCTCATGCTCAGCAAAAGAACCCTCCTCCCCCAAACTTTGGCAACCCCGGTCTTGGACACGCCCATGTTCCCACTTACTGCCTCTGTCCCACGTACTCAGCGTGCTCATGTGCGGCCTGTGTGCGCGTGCGTTTCTGCAAGTAAACTGTACCCTTAAAATGTCCCAAAAAGCCAGAAAAACACGTGCATTCTCACACTCACCGCCAGGGCGCACCAGAGAGACGCTTAATTCCCTTGCTCTCCAATTTAAAGCACATTCTTACAGTCTTTACATTTATTTATTCAAAGGTTCTGTATAGTAACGCTTTCAGCATCTCAGTAACAAGTACACGAATGTCATTTTTTGCATAATTCAATCACTGAGATGAAAGAAAAGTCATTCAGAGTGGTTTGATGTGAAATTTACTTATAGAGAAACGTGCAGATTCCTTTACTTTGCTGTGATGGTGGTTGGAATCTGATGACTACAACACAAATATAGCCATTTTATTTACAATTTTTTTATTTACTATTCAAAACCACCAGTGAACCTACTAAATTTTACATAGAATATTAAATCTTTGGCAACTGTTCACCACGAATGGCTTTTAAAATATGCCTTATAAATATATGAAGCGGCATATTCATAACCATTACTTTCTTTTAGAGCTTTTAGAGGTGGATGTCTGGTTCCTATCACCACCACTATGAACAATTCTCACTTGATAAGTTTTTGTAGAACAGAGCATTTCACACCAAACCACTCTGACTGACTTTGTTTACATCCTAACCGATTAATTATGCAGAAATTCTGACAAAATGGTGAAATTCCCCTGTATGTTTGGAGACAGTCAGTTTTGTTTTATAATTATGAAACTTCACTAATTTAAAAAGCAGTTGTATAATGTATGATTTTCTTGCTCCTCCAAAAAAAGATACATCAGTTTATTTAAAATTGTGTAAAAGATTGTAAACATAATTTGTATAAATACTCCATAATTACATGGTAAAGTCATACAGAGTGGTTTGGTTTGAAATGCTTCGTTCTATAAAAACTTACAGAGTCAGAATTGTTTACATTAGTGGTGATAGGAACCAGACGTCTGACGAGTTTAATGCCTCTAAAAGCTCCCTCAAGTTTGTGGTATAGTCATGGCGACCCCTGGTTCCTATCACCACCACTGTAAAGAAAGAGTCGCTACAATCAACCATTTCACACCAAACCACTCTGAACGACTCTGTTTACATCTCAGCCGCTCAATTATGCAGACATTCAGAAAAATCTTTGGAATTTCCTTTAAAGGCCTCCAGAGCTGCAGAGGCCTGTTAGCCTGTGTGATTGACAGCAGTGTAAAGGCTCAGTACTGCACTACAGACTAACTGTGCGGCCCCTCACTGGGTCAGAGCCAAGGGTCCCGTATTGATGAAGTAGGCCGTCTTCCTGGTGTGATCGGGTTATAAGCTCAGATATATCACTGTGGCACGCTGTTCTGCTCTTTACTGGGGCAAAACATTCCCTGTGTTCCTTTATAAATCTCCTGGCCCGGCACTGCAGGCAGAGAATATGAGAACACGTCAGCCTCCGTCTCGCCCGACTGAGTCTCACATGCACATCATTGACTGCTGCTAATGCGTCTGCAGCCTGGTCTGGTTGATACGGAGCCCTCAGGTGCTACGGGCTTCTTTGTTCTTGCTGGAAATCCACAGAAGCTGTGGAATGGGGTTCATGATGGAAGGTGAAAGGTGAGGAGCTGTGGCGTAGCGTCTAAGCATGCAGGGTGTGCATTTGTGGGCCTGTGCATTAGGGGCCAGTGAATCATGGATCACCTCAGCTTTTTATGTTATCAATGCATAAATAGTCTGTAGTTCTTCAATGAAATTTCCAAGCACTGTCTCACCTCTGCATGGTGTGCGTGACTTCTTGTTTTTCATTTGGGTGCTCTAAATAAATTATGCAAACCAGTGAACATGAAAAAACTGTCAAAACCCAAATGCATAGTGCTATCAAAAAAATACTGGCCTAAACTTCATGCTACACACACATTTTCTGGTAAATCTTACGTTCTAAAGCATTTGCCAAATCACAAGTTGGAAAACCACTGAGGGTAAACAAACACAGCATGCTTTTTAATTAACTGTCTTTTTATTAAAGTGCCCATAACATAAAAAAAAACATTTTACCTCATTTTTATTTAGTAAAAGAGATCAATGTGGTATACAAAGACTGTTAAAGTCTCAAAATGTTTTATACAGTCCATTTATGAAAACTAAGCTGTATTTCAGTCAATCAATCAATCAATCAATCAATCAATCAAACAACCAACCGTTATTTAAACTCAGAGTGCATTGATTGAGACCCTCATTTACAACGTAGCCAAACCAATACAGAAAATTTAAAAATTGGATAGTAAAAACATATCAAATGCAAAAAAGTAATTAGAACCATAATAGGAAAGGTAAAAGTAGACAAAAAAATCAGTAAATGAAAATTGCAACAATATAGTAACTTAATAATTAACAGATCACATAAGGATAAAATAAATGAAAACATAATTAATAAAATGAAAAGAAATAGACGATGTAAAACAAAAAAATAATAAAAGTGAAATAATAGCTAAAACATACCAAAATCATATAAAAAGTGACTAAAATCAAGTAAAACAGTTGCAGGCTGTGTGGAGGTGGTTAGAGACAAAAAGTCAAAATGTGATGGTGAAGTGAAGCTTTAGAGTTTCCTGTAACAAATTCTAGCTCACTGCTACATTGTAGCTAAAATCAGATTTTCCCAGTTCATATTGAATTGTTTTTGTGATGTCACAAGAACCAACACATTTCCATACATCCACATATTCAGCCTACAACACTTTAGCCCTACCCTTTCACACTGAAGATATAAGGAGTGTATAATTATGCAGAAATGTTGCGGTCCCATTTAAGGTAATGTTAAAAGTAATAACACTCCTGAAAAATGACTGTTTTGGAGGTACAACATTTAATTCAGACAGCGATGATATGTATTCCACACATGTAACGGTGCGTGTGTGTGGGTGTACAGCGCACAGGCCAGTTAAAGGGGGTCCTGAAGTCATGCTTTATAGCCGCGCTGCAGTGTGGGCTGTGTTATTGATCTGACTGATACAGTGTGCATGTCATGCTGTACAGGTCAGGGCAGCAGGCCCTCCGTTGGCCCATTACTGCCCTCGCCATCACACAGCACTCTGATCAATCCCTGCCTACTGAGCTATTACTGCCAGCACGGTTTATGCGATGCTGCTTGGGCGGGGGGTTTCGCTCTGCTCAGAGGTGTTACAGATATGGCAAATGATGACAAACAATATACTCAGCAGTGGAAGCTGAAGCTGAATGAGGCTGATTTACAACACTATTCAGGCACGTGCACAGATAGACCCCCGGGGGGGAGGGGGACTTGAGCTTTGCCCTCAGACTGTACAAAAGCCCTCTTGGTTGGTGTGTACAATAACTGTATTTTATATTGTCTTTAATATCTGTTCTGTTCTGAGAATAGAGCCTGTGAGTCGGCTTGAGTTCTACGATCTTCATTGCTTTTGGGTGCCCCCTCTGGTGCACCCCCTGTGGTTCTCCTCAGTCACTCCAACATGTTGCATCACCACAGCGCTCAAACCAAGAAAATGCTCAAAATCTCTTTAGGAAAGCATCATATTCCGTAATGGTGGTTATTTCGAACAAAAACCAAGCATAATATGAGCATTAAGAGATGTTCATAACTTTCTACATCAAGTGTTCATTATTATTGTATATACAAAAACTCATCACATTTTTGAATGATGGACACGTCATTTATGACCAATCAGAGCTAAGATAATTTTACCGAAATGTGAAAAGAGGACAGCATTTCATCAGCAGTGAAGCTGGTTTCTTTTTTCGTTCTTTATTAGCTGTTGAATGCTGGATGAAAAAGGGTAAATATGTATAAATTGTCATTGTTAGCAACCAAAACGATCAGCTTTCATTTAGCTTGCATCTGGATTTGATGTAGAACATGATTTCTGTGGACTGTAGCTGCTATAAGAGCTAAACAACCATCTGCAGATTACATGAAAAGTGGCAATGGTTGGGGCCCAAGCACTATATGGACATTATAAAATCAGATTTTGTACACACTGGGCTTTTCGACCTTGGTATAGTAAAGTAAATTTAAAAGAGTCAAAACATCTAAAAAGCCATACCATTTTTAGACATAACTTGTATTTGTACAGTTCATAGCACTCAATGAACCAAATATTTCTCGGGTCCTGTCACATTCAGATATTTTTATGTAGACCTCTGTCTAAAATATGACTGATGACTGGCTTGTTCATGTGTGCTCAGCAATGGAGTTACAACTATGCATATAATTGAATTTTGCTTTACTTTTTCATTAAACTGCAGTGCAGACGGGTCAGAATGTACTGTGCTCAGGTCTTGTGAATGAGGCATCAACTCGACTAAGAACATCAAAAATACCTCAATGATTCTAAAGATATATGACTTGATTAACAGCCTGGAAATAAATCACAGCTCCATAATTCAAATGGACTGAAAAGCTTGAAAAATCTCTGCTTGATCAGGACTGTGTGGACATTTCAGAGATGGTGGTGTGGTTGTGGCAACATAAACAATCCCACAGCTAATTTTTAGCTCTTTTGCTAATTAGCCCCTGTGATATGTGCCCAATTTGTGCATGTCTTCTTAAATTCTCCTTTGAAGTTTCTTCATATAACATGTTACTCATGAGTTTCATATCAAAATGCTCCGTTATCTTCATCACTACTTTCCAAAACCGCTGCAGCAACTTCAGCAGCTGTAAACTCTCTGCAGGCCATTTCACACGTGTCTCTGATGTGGACTGAATGAAAAATGAAGGGTTTCCTTAGTTCCTTAGTGATTTCCTGAGTGTCAAAAGGCCCTCTTCACATTTCCGCATTTTTTCTACTGGAAGTGTTCGGTGCAGGGTAACACTGCTTCCTCTAAAACAATAA